TGATCTTTAGGTATGATATTTGTTAATGTTGATATAATTATATTTTGCAAAACAATCTAGTAATCACATTAAGCTTGAGTGGTGCTTTTGTGTTTGTGAGTTAATCCAAGAGAGATTAAGAAAGACTTCTAAGATTCTGAACAGTTGCTATTACACTTCTTTATTCCTAAACTCTTAAACCTTTATAATTATTAATTTGTGCCATTTAAGTATTATTTAAAATACATTTGACTGAAAATTAACATTAAACAGCAGTACAGTATGTGTGCAACACAATATAAAGGTTGTACAGTAGCCCATGGTTTATCAGTTCTCTAACAAATACTTAAAAAGCATATTGCTAGAAAAGGAGCTCTTCACACAGCTCTGTGCAGTACATCAAAGTGCAAGATATAATTTGTATATCACTGAAAATTCATGTAATGTTTATAAATTTGCAATACTGTATTATTAATATTAATAAAATAATCATCAGACACAGGGCAAAAATCCAATACATGGTTGCTCAGTTTGTGAAAACTCGGCAATATGAGGATCAAAAGCTAGATCATGGATTACTCAGCACTCAATTTGAATACTTTGTTCACCTAACAGCTTCCTAATGATAACAAATGCTTACCTTTATTGTGCCAGAATGACACCTAATAAAACACTTGTCATGCAAGATGTCACTCACCTCACACGACGACATTGCATCACAATGACGCTCACCTTACACAATGGCACTCGCCTCACACTATGATGCTCACCTTGCATGATGATCCTTAACTCACATGATGATGCTCACCTTGCACGATGATCCGCAACTCAAACGATGATACACCATGCAAGACGATGCTCACCTCACACAGTGACACTTGCATCACATGATGCCATTCACCTCACACAATGGCACTCACATGATGGTAACCACCTCTCAAGATGACACTCGCCTTACATGATTAAACGCACATAATGACACCTTCAAAATGTGTTAGTCAATCACAAAAATTGTGCATTGAAGTAATCTTTATAAAAAAAATAAAAAGTTGTATCTATTATTCAAAATAAGTATGCTGGACTATTTTAATGAAATAATCTTGTATGAAACAATGAACAATAATTTGTTTTATACAGTTAGTGTACATCAGGATGGATGATTTAAGACAGGCTATTCTGCATACAAAACTGTAAAAATTGATACCTGGATAAAACTTGATATATATATAATTCAAAAACAAATATCTGAAACATTGATCAATTTAAAATCATCTTTAATACCAGCAAAAAGAAAAAATTACATATTTTAATTCTTATCCTTTTGCATCAGAATACTGTACTGCACTAACATGGCAATATATTGTTTGATAACCCAAGCTTACACAAAAATGAGGTTTGAGTATGTAATGTTCCAATTTGTAAAACTAAAACAGACATACAAACAAAACAAAACAGTTTAATTCTGCACATTATAAAAAAAATATAATAGGCTAATAGATAGGCAAGTTTAATTTGTTACAGTCAGTTTTTTAAATGCATCATATGAACATTATTCACAACTTTATGGCTGAAATATAAACATGCAAATTTTGTTGCTGTTTAGGTCAGCTAGCAACTGCAAATATTGTCTGGGAGGGCTTAATCAAAATCACATACCAGTTAATAAAAAGTAAACAAACTGGTGCAATTTTAACAAAGTTACAGTTTAATTTTAAGTACAAACAAATCAATATCCAAGAAACATTGTTCTTCATTACCAAAGCAATATTTTTGGCCAAGATCATTTTTGATGTTGACTAAACCACACACTAGAAAGTGAAGAGACGACGACGTTTCGTCTCGTTTATTTAATGATACGAATATCATAAAATCCTTTACAATTTTTTTTTCAATTAAGAACTTTCGAAGGACTGTCGGAAAAATAAAATAAAATATTACCTACACGGAAGATAAGGCTGCATGAGACACTGTGAATATTATAGAAATTATGATGAACAAAATACCTAAAAATCCAAGAGCAAATTATCAACATATACAAAATTTCTGGGTCAAACTATCTATTGTTTTTCACTATTACACCTTGGCATGTGCATGTATGTTCTTGTTCAATGTGTGTGGACATCACACCGAGTTGTGCATCGTAAGTACACAAACACAATAATGTTGGCAGCATATACAAAATTTAAAAAATACATCAGCCTTACAGACCAAAAAGAACCAATCAGAATACTGTAAGCAGCATATGTTAGACTAGAACAGGAATACATGCAACCGAAAAGTAGCTCACAACTACTTTAGCGCAGAGAAAATTGAGAAGGTTCAGAAATTTGTCATAAGACTAATACAAGAAATATTAGACCCATGTTATAAGGACAGCTTCAAAGAATTAAACGTATAAACACGAGCAAAAATGACCTAAAGTAGCCATGGTCATGATGTACAAAATACTGAGATACAAAGTGGACAAAGATTAACTTTTCAATATGAGTGATGTAAGAAAATACTTCTGCAGAGTATTGACTTCTGTACAAATAGTGAGCATGTTTAGGAAACTAAAAAAATAGTAGTTGGGGCAAATGTAACCTGCAGCTTTAAAATTAGGTACAACCCAGATGTAGGTTGTACTGGACAGAAAATAAAATAAACGGCCAGTTTGTGCATCATTAGCAATAGTGCCCTCTCTTGGTTTACCCAGATATTTGCCAATGAATGGTACAATTCTGTATTCATCGTTACAAAATTAATCAAGATCATAGTCTTCTTTCCCTCAAGCGGTTTTACCTCAGGACTGACTAGGCAATTCCAGAATCCTAACTACTGTTCTTTAACCTTTCAGTGACAAAAATTTACAATTGTCAAAAAAATTCATAATATCTGATGCAGTGTTAACCATTTCAGTGCATTTGATTACATCCTGAAGACATCATGAGGTGGGGAGGTATCAGAAAACAATGTAATGAAAGAAGATTAAAGATACTGGACATGAAAAAAAAAATTCATCTAATCACCATATCTTACACACTAACAGCATCACATAAAATCAGTGGTCACATTTCGGCAAAAAATCAATAGCAGCATTTAACCACTTCATACAACTATGTACTGAGAGCATTATATATAATGTTCCAGAGCACTTCTCGTGTATTGTTGACAACCAGTTTCATCACACACTCAGTGTCCCCCCACCCCTACATCTTCATTCCTTACTCTATCCTACTTTGTTCACTACTTACATTTCCATTTTATAACGAATAAAATTAATGGCTTTGGAATGTATCTATTCAGTTTTAATTTATATCAGGTGTTGAACACATCCATACACAAAATCAGGAGTTAACTGAAAATGATACATTTCATCCTCCCAAATCTATTCCTCCTTATAACGGATCCCTCTAAACATTTAACCATACCTACTCCCCCACATTTCCCTATGAAAACTGTATTTCTAAAACAAATCTTTTTGTGCTTCATTACATACGAACTCAATGCCATTACTGTATAACTGGTCACGTGCACACTGCGTAAATTTTCTTGAGTATTTAGGCTTCAGACAAAACTATTTATAGACCCAAAGTATTAGTTGAGAGATACTGTTGAGTGTAATGAAACATCATCTTCCTCCCCTAGTTTCTGCACTGGCTATCTGGACAGAGCATTGTAACATCAGGTATGTATTTGGAAAACTTAGTTCCTTCAAAAAGGCAGGGAGCAAATGAGGATCAAACTGAGGAATACCACCTATAAAAATAAAGTCCCCAAATTCCCCCTCCAAGAATGTTTTGGAAATGCTTCAAACAAACCAAAACAAATCTTTAAGAGTCACTCAACTACCTATCATAGTGCTACATTGTACCAACACTATGTGGCAGGTCGGTCAAGAGCTGAGTATACCTGTACCCAAAGCTCACACACTGCCTGGCTATTGGGAGTGGTTGAGCGGACAGAACACTGGACGCTTGATCCTGTGGTCCCGGGTTCGATCCCAGGTGCCGGCGAGAAACGATGGGCAGAGTTTCTTTCACCCTGATGTCTCTGTTACCTAGCAGTAAATAGGTACCTGGGAGTTAGTCAGCTGTCAGAGGCTGCTTCCTGGGGGTGGAGGCCTGGTCGAGGACCGGGCCACGGGGACACTAAAGCCCCGAAATCATCTCAAGATTCTCAAGATAACCCTACTGAGTGACTATAAAGCATCAAAAAAACATATCAAGGGCTACAAGATCAAAAATTAAATTGATTTCTAAAATAAAAGCAAGATTGTGAACCAAAATATATAAGGATCATAACATTTAGTAAGAAATTTTGTGTAACAGCTGCAGAACCAGTACAAGCCTATGTGCTTATATCTAAATACTTTTAAGGAATCTTAATTTTTTTTTTAGCAACCTCTAGATTTTTTAGTAAATAAAAATTGAAAGAAATGAGTATTCAAGTTATCTTGAAAATACTGTTCAGTGAAGTGTGAGGGACACTTAAGTGATACAGATTTCTTGGTGACATACTGTACAATAAATTTGAATATGGATTAAAACCCTTACTCCATAAATGACGTCCCCAATTCTGTGTTATATATAAGAACATTATAAATATTCCATGCATTACAATTCCAAAACAAATATATGATAAATTCTTAAATTCAATTACCGCTATAATATTGGAATCAATATACTATTAACTAGTACCGATTCATTTTGAAGATGGGTAATTGAAAGATTCCAGAGATGGTTAGATTCTTGGATGAAATATGGAATGTACTGTAATTTGAATGTGAATTTCCCAAAACACCTAGAAAAATATATTGCAATAAACCTCCCTGGACTGACATGATGTCAACAACTGAAATTTGTCTAATGTTTGTTGTTAAAAAAAATAAATGGCCTTGTATAAGTGGCTCACTAGTGGACCACTTGCATCATATTAAGCTCTCAATAGTTGGGTGTCACAATATGCTAACTGGACTTCATGCAACACACTAGTCACTGAAAAGTATATCATGTCATACAATAGGACAACTGAAAGATGGGTAAAATGTTATGAAAAAATATATAACATATATTATTACATGCCGCACAGTACATACTTGTCACAAATTACATAACAAAAACCAGTGTTGAATGTAATGAAATACTGTACCTATGTTCCCTACCTACATATTTAGCCATAATTTTTCTACAAGAAGTAAAAGCAGTCAATATAATTTTTAAAATAATGGATCAAACAAAAATTCCTTAAATTTCAAAGCATTTCATGAAATACAATAAAGCTTGTATAAAACAAGCTACATTATTTATTAAAAATATATAAATTATAAATATTATGCCTTTGCATATAAGACATTTGTTCTGTTGTGATAAAAATATATGCAGCCAATCAAAAATTCCAGAAAGATAATTTCTTCTTTTAATTATGTTGCTATTTAGGTACCTTTCCATGTTTTCTGTTCCAATTACTCTTGCTTCTTATCTCCACATCAATACACAGCTTACTTAAATGATCTATTATGTCATTTAAAGTATTACACATGTCCATATGCATCATTATTTCCAAAAAAAGTTTCAAAATTCTCCTTCATATTGTCTCATCATGCAGATTACACAGAATATCCCCTATTTAAGATAAAAATATTAATCATGTTACTGTATTTCTATTCAAAGTAATTAGTTTTTGTTGAATGAAATATGTAATTTGAATTAAACATACTATTTAATATGCTGGTTGCAAATAGGCATTTTTGTCAGTAAATGTTATTACGTGTTTTTATCAAGCAGAAGATCTTATCTAGTCATTCACATGAGCAAATCCTACACCAGTTAAAGATGAGGTGTCAACATGTTGCTGCAGTAATGTACCTCTACCGTAACTCTTTACAGCCATCACCATTATAGAAGTTGCCAAATTAATTATATTTTGTTCAACAGACTAATACTGTTAACAATGTAAACTAATTTGTGGACTGGTGGACAAAAATATGCAAGGATTACATAGAGTAGTAACAAATAAAATAAAATCCAGACTAGTATACCAAACATTTTAAGGTGGTTTATTTGGATGTTATTTATGTTCCTTCATGGTGTGGTCCCAGAACTAGAGCTACCAGATGCTGACCTTCCATTATGTGGTTTAGAGATTTACCTGGAGAAGAAGAGAGTCTATCAGTATTACTCTGCATTAGTTTAATAGTAAAATGAAAGACTTCCATCATCAATACCCAATTTTCCCACATTCATAGATTGGGAGGTACTCACATGGATTACACGGATGGAAAAGCACAGTATTAATAAAAAACAATGTTACAGATATTTAGAATTAATTCAGTCTTTTAAATACCCAAAATGCAAGTGTTACCAAACAGTTATCAATATATATATATAACTAGCTTCAGAAGACTGTCACTTCCTGACCTAAATGAACTACAGTGGTACCTCGATTTACGAATGCCCCTCTTTATGAACTTTTCGGGTTACGAACCCGATTTCTTCAGAAAATTTTTAATCGGGTTACAAACTTTACCACGGAATACGAGTTTGTTGATACGCGTATGGCCGACTTAGCCCGTGGTGGCACGGCAATCGCGCCTCAGTTTATCAGTGCCTCCCGCCAAGTGACTATCCCACCTGAATTCTTTGCAAGGATTTACATCTTTGGGGGGATTTTTGGCTATTTGAGAATAAAAGTTGTTATTATATATCTCACCATGGGTCCCAAGAAAGCCAGTGGTAAGGTTCAAGGCAAGAAAACACATGTGAGAATGATCATAGAAGAAAAACGAGAGATCATTCGTAAACATGAAAATGATACACCTGTTGTTGAACTAGATAGGCAGTACAACAAATCTTCAGGGAAGGAGGAGAAGGCAGTAGAGGATATCCCTTCATTATTAATTAAGAAAATGTGTGCAGTATGGGAAGAACTGCAAAGTTTTGCTGAAAAGAATCACCCAGATAAAGCTGTAGCAGGCTGTTGCACTGATCTTATTAATGACAATATGATGTCTCACTACAGACATGTGTTACAAAGAAGGGAAAAACAATCTTAATGGAACGATCTCTAGTGAGAAAATCAAGCAGTGAGCCAGAAGCAGGTCCTAGTGGAATGAAAGCAAAACGTGCCAGAGTGTGTACCTCAGAGAAGTCATCACTGCCTGATGTTATAATGGAAGGGAACTCCCCCTTCCAAACAGTAACACCTCTCCACCTCCCTCCCCTCCTCACCGTCTTCCATATGCTAACAGGAGTCATCAGTAAAGGTAAGTAATAACTTGTACATACTTTTGTACTTAAGATTTGGGTGAATTAGTTATAAAATTAACTTTGAAGTTAATTTTTTGAGGAGTCGGGAATGAATGAATTAATTTCCCATGATTTCTTATGGGGAAATTCGCTTTGGTTTACGAATTTTCGGGTTACGAATCATCTCCAGGAACGGATTAAATTTGTAAACCGAGGTACCCCAGTATAGGGTTCAATTCCTGAACTAATTATGTGCTTTTGTAACCCTTTCCACCACTGCCCACAGGATAGGTATGTGGTGCATAATAGTGAAATGAAAATGAAACCGAATTCTCAGAAGACTGGATATGATGAAGTGAAGACGTACACTTGTATGAAAAATGACAACATCAACAAACTATTGCAACCTTGTGTACTGACGTGTTACTTTAAAGTAACCTGTTTGGTCTAATTGCAGTTCACAGTACAGTGGGGCCTCTACTTACGAACTTAATCCGTTCCCAGAGACTGGTTGAAAGTCAAAAATTCGTAAGTTGAAACAAATTTTCCCATAAGAAATAATGTAAATTGAATTAATCTGTTCCACATCCCCAAAAATATTAACTTAAAAATACATTTTATACCGAATAACACTCATTTTGTACTAGCTACAATACAGTACTGTATGTATATCTTACCTTGAATGAGGACTCTTGTTGGCATATGGAAGACGGTGAGGAGGGGAGGAGGAGACGTGTTAGTATTTGGAAGAGGAGTCCCCTTCCATTATAACATCAGGCAGTGATGACTTTTCTGCGGTACTCTCTCTCCTACGATTTGCCTGCATACCACTAGGACCTGCTTGTGGCTCACATGCTTATTTTTCTCACTAAAAACCTGTCTGGCGACACTTGTTCTTCCCTACTTTGTAACACTTGTCTGAAGTGAGACATCACATTGTCATTAAAAAGGTTAACAAAACGGTCTGCTACAGCTTGAGTTGGGCGACACTTTTCAGCAAAACTTTGCAATTCTTCCCATACTGCTCACATTTTCTTAATCAATGAGGAATCCTCTACTCTACATCAACAACCTTCATACCATTTTCATGTTTACGAATGATCTCTTGTTTTTCCTCTACGGTCATTCTCACATGTGTTTTCTTAGGTTGAACCTTACTACTGACTTTCTTGGGACCCATGGCATTTCAAAATACAAAATTGTTATACAGGTATAACAATTACTTTTATGTTCCAAAAACCAATAAGCATAAAAATAATGAAATTATTTACAAGCCCGTTCGTCACTAATCGGCCGGCTCTGGTAAACTGTGGCGGGGTCGGCTGTGCCACCAGGAACCACGAGATCGGTCGACCCATACCATACGTGAATCAACAAAGTCGCTAGTCGAGGCAGAAGTCATAAGTAGAGTCGCATTTTTTGACGAAATTTACATCGCAACTCGAAAAATTCGTAAGTAGGGGCAGTCGTAAGTCAAGGTGCCACTGTACTTTAAGTTAGTTGAAACAAGTTGGACATGTCAATCGTTGACCAAAAGTCCATTTTTTTTTTTATCTGGGAGGGACCCAACTCAGTAGCTTCCCAGAGCTCATGCACTGTTATAGCCAAACCTTAAGAATCACACCTAGCTTTTTAGACCCAATATGATCTATCGTAAGATAGGACCAGAATCAGATTCTCTTTACAAGGTGAAGGGAGTTTGGCGGGGGTTAGAAATTTACCTAAAGCTGTGAAGTAGTCAAGCACTGAATGTAATGAAGTGGATTTTTCTGGTGGACCACTTAACAGTTTGCCGAGGCATTGTACTGGGGTTCCCAAGACTTGGGAAACTGCATCACATCTCTGAAATCCATCAGAGTCTACTGGGAGCCAGGACCAGAATCTGGCTATCTTTACGAGGTAAAGGACATTCTACCTTTCTGCCACTTTTTTGTCTCTTGGCCAGGGTTGATATAGTACTAGACTTTATTGAGTGAACCAGAATCTACAATTGGTCTGCAGTCAGCTTAAATGGATCGCAAGGGCCTGGTGAGATATAACACTTGTAGAACGAACTAGGTGACTAGCTCCAGGGAGACACAGAAGGGAACTATCCCCCTCCCCCCCTCCAAAAAAACAAAAAACAAAAAAAAAACAGATGTGTGGATAAAATAAAGTTCTACTGAGAACAATAACTGGGAAATGGCACAGGTGAGGACTGGTGGTAAGAAAGAATGAATACATGATCATCGGTATATGTAAGGAATATGCTTTATTTTCATTATGGGTAACAACTATCAAGTACAAAATGGAAAGCATATACTGAGCAAATACTTACCTTTGAGAATTGGCTCATTTGTCATGACTTTGACACTTGAATAATAATCAGTTGGGCATGACCACTGTGCACGCAACTGTCGAGCTGTTTGGCGAGCACTCAGCCACCACCTTTCATCACCAACATCTCCTTCCATGGTTTCAATACTGCAGAGTATTAACAGATATTATCACAAATTCATAAAAGGGAAATCTTATATTTACAAATCCATATTTAAAAACCTGAAGTAGAGTATAAATGTAATGGCTTCATAAATGTTACAGACCCTACCCAATACACAAGCAAAAATTTCTTTGAAAAAAGTGGGAAAGAAAAATACATTATAGGAGCTACCATATATGGGCCATAAGGCATTCAGTAGCATCCTTAATTCTTATGTTATGTTTAATAGGTAAATTCTGCATTAAGATTATTAAAACCATAATAAATCTTTACACTTTTTCCACTCTCATGAGTGAGAAGATTCAATAAATAAAAGTTATAAATAACTTCAATGACATTTAAACAACTATGTAACTCACATTTTCTACTGTAGTGTAGATAGTACACGGGCCAGAGGATAAAAATACAGAAAGCTGTAAAAAGCAATAGACAGAAGGAAGAGTACTGTCCTGTACCCTCCCCATGCTCTCACTGTGCATATGAAGGTTGCTTCTGCCAATGGGGCACTCTTCAGACTTACAAAAGATAACATTATGTGTGAATTAATTATGAAAGGAAGAGAATGCTCACCTATATGGGTCTTCTTCAAGCAGTGGCTCCTTATCTATGAGATAATACTGTTTGGAATCCATGTTAAAGATGAATGTAGCTGTAGTTTTGTACTGACGACGAGTTAAGGAACTAATTGGGGATCGAACTGTCTTACTCAGTCCTTTAACAACTGTTGCAGCCTGGACTAAAACTGATGCTAGTGCCACTATGTCCCCACTACTTGGACACACCTTGGAGCAAAATGATCAATAAATTAACATTTTTTGGTGTGAATGCTTAATAATACAACAATACGTAAACCAAACTTAAGACCAAACCCATTTGGAAAAAATACATGGAGGTATAGTATTCTATAGTGTTGAATTTAAAGAACTTGAGCGTAGAAATAAAAAACGTAAACCCACGAATGTAGCAAAGATAATATAAAGTATTGTGGAGTAAATCTGAAGATTGATTCCTAAAAACTGGTCTTAATGTAATAAACATATACAGTATTGAGAATGGTAGTGCAGGTGGTACTGTCAAATATTGACATATACAAGATGCAACATGATCATGTATGGCATACAACATGCAGAGGTCACTACTAATACTTTCTTTGACAAGATAATATTGAGAACAATTAGACAAATTTGATTTACAGTGGGATATCTTTAACCTTTTGGTTGTGAAATGTGACTTTTGCCCACTTTAAAATAAAAAATCCAGAAGCGATTGTAATGAAATGCCTCTTTCTGGCAGGTCCCTCAGTAGCTCCCTCATGTTACAACCTGTCAATGAAATCACACAAGGCATCAAGAGATTCATGAGCATCAACCACAAACCTGAAGGGACTAATGCTTTAACCTCAACAACAACTGGACACCTGCTCTGCCTGGGGATGGCTAGCACCTGCTGTCAGAGGTTACGGGAAGGTGTTTTTTGCAATTTTACCTTATTGGGTACAAGTTCTGGGAGGGGCCATCACATTTATGCTGCAATTTTGTTTGACTACTCATTATTTTGTGTGTGGGGGTTGGGGATGGCATCTGCCTCCTTAATAGACTCTTCAGGGTTTCCCCCACACATCTGCCAATTAGTGTGTTTACAGTATCTGCTGCAAGGTGCATTTGTTTCTGCCAACAGTTAATGTTAATTAATATAGCAGCAAGGTTTTACTGTTTACCCTCTAAGGGAATGCAACATAAACCAGGATTAGAATCTGACCCTCTCAGAGAGGCAAAGAAAGCTTGAGAAAACTACAAGGACTACAACAAAACTGAACCAAAATCCACTAGAAAACTCAAGTGCTCTAAAATATGCAATAGTTTGGATCTTTTTTTTAAACTGATGAAAATCATACAAACAATTGTTAATGTGTGGAAATTCCCAACATAATATGCCTGGTTGCCAACAGATACAGATCTAAGGGTCTTGGCCAGTCAGCTGCCCAATTTATCAGCCACCCTTATAGAAGGCAGCCAACTCCCAGAGAAGAGGAAACAGGGAGGGGGACGGGAAGCTACTTTGTGGACCACCAGAAAGAGGCATTTCATTATACTCAATGTTGGATTTTTGAGTCCCCCCCTTAGTAGCTACCCGAAGCTATATGACAATGGTGCCTCGGTAGAGGAAGCTGGCCATTCTGAGATGGAACCAACCTAAAAGAAAAAGGATGGCCAGGGCTGATCTGTGGGAGCAATGCCAAAAGAATGGATTAAAAAAAAAAAGTATTGGAAAATGGAGCCCAGGCCATCCAGACAGATGGCAGCCTGGATGGCCAATATGCATCATAATTCGCATCTGAAAAATATTAGAGGAACTGGTTCCAAATTTGCACACCTACCTAATTTCATAACCCTTAAAATAAAAATGGTTTCTTAGCCAGGAATAAAAATTATCTACATTTTTTTCTGATATCTTGAGCTATACCAGGAAGTTAGCAGTGAGGTTATTATGTCTTAATGTCACACGAGAGGTGCTGGCATATTGATGAGGATATCGTCATCTGATGGCATCTAGGGAAGATGGCCAAATTGATAGTTACTATGGGCACAGGAAGGCCATACTTGTGGTGTCAGGTGGACTTGATAAGGGTTAAAATTTTAGTATATTGACTGTTATAGAGGTTATTTAAAGGTTTATTGAGTATTCTCTAGTGTTAGTGTTAAGTGGTCCCATGGAGGTGGTATGGCCTCCACAGGGACCACTTGAAAAATTCCCTATATGCCAGCATAAATAAACATCTCCCCTCCCCCCTCCCTGCCTGGCTGCTACAGATCCTGGCTACCAGCCACGGTAAGTTTAACACTCTGGAACAGTCAAGCAGAATACCTCAGAAGAAAGGCACCAGCAAAATCTTCCAAGGAACATCCACTAGCATAAGAGTATACAGTATGTACAGAAAATTGGGTGCAGTTACACTTACTTATTATCAAGATATTGCCCTAGTTCATACATCAAAATAAAGCTATCTTCTTGAAGTTATCTTGGGTTGATTTCGGGACTTAGCGTCCCCGCGGACCGGTCCTCGACAAGGTCTCCTTTTTGTTACACTCCCCCCCCAGGAAGCAGCCCGTAGCAGCTGTCTAACTCCCAGGTACCTATTTACTGCTAGGTAACAGGGGCATCAGGGTGAAAAACATTTTGCCCATTTGTCTCCGCCTAAATCGGGGATCAAACCCGGAACCTCAGGACTACGAATCCGAAGCACGGTCCTTCCAGCTGTCAGGCATCCTAAAGCTTAAGATAGTTAAAAAATAACAACCAGAGGGTCTCAAAACCAAAAGAAAAAATCTTTTTGCCATCATTCACAACTGTTTTAAGTTTCAAATACAATGCAAAGAGGTATTCTCAATATAGCACATTGTATGGAATACCAAATGATTGCAGAGGCAATAAGCAGTTATGAAGCAAGATATATATTGAGAATGACATATTTAAGTATTTTTTTATGTAAAGCAACTTTAAACCTGAGTTGATCTCACAAAAATTTATAAACAAAATATAGCAATACTTTTTAAGAAAACATATGAATGAAACATTCAAGATCTAAAAATTAGCCCAATACTTACATCAACTATCTCCACGTTGTAGTCATTACAGAAGAAATACTTTTTTCCAGCTTCAGTGCATAATCTCTGAGCCATTTCATGACAGAACTGTTCAACATCCAAGCTAACTTGTCTTACTAATACACCTGGAGCCATCTGTCAATAAAAGAAAACAGAATTGAGCTTAATAAAATGGCACTTTCTGGGTAACTTCTTAGTAGCTTTTCTTCATTTAATTGCACTGGCATTCAATTGTCAGTGCAATTGCTACTTCCAGGCTACTGTGATTATCTCGATCCACCAGGAGCAAAGACCAATATCATGCTCTCTCTCTCTTGGGCAGGAGAACATGTGGAGAACATAGATCAGCTATAACCAGGATGAACATCCTTAAAAGGAGTAATTAAGTCACAAAACACTTTACCTCTCATCAAAAAATATTTGGAACAGTTGCCTCATCAGATCCCTGTGTTGGGCAATGAAGGTTTTTCATGTTTCAGTTCTGCTTGGTATTTTAAGGTATCTAAAGATTTTTAAAGGGGAAGGGGCATGTTTTGCGAATACTTTTTGAGCTTTAGGGTGGTTCATCTTGGTAGTAGGTAGAGATATGATCACCAAATGCTGCCCGCCCTGTTAAGGGAGCAAAATATTAATCCTTCCTTGCTGGTCAAGAATGTTACAATGAGCCTGGTGTATCAAATGTAGCAATGGAGTGCCAGTGCAATAAACTCAGGAGTGCTACTGAGGGGACCCAGCCCAGAATATAAATGTAAAATTGAATTATAATCTAAAAAAAATAAAGGTGCTGAGTCAATTGAAACTATCCTTTCTGAACTAGATTACCGAGTGCTCCCATTTTCAAAATCTTTATAATTGACCCAAGACTCATACCTGCCAGACTCTCATGCTTAATATCCCCATCATGATAGGAATCTTAGCAATTGGTCCTGTCATATATGTAGGAAAGTAAGACATCTATGAGTCCAACTCAAGCCGCTGAGTGTACCAGCTCGCTAAAACGAAAACAAATCACAACACTCAAAATTTTTCTGCAAGCGTAAAAGAACTGAGAATACTACCAATAATTGTTCTTCAAAAAACTGTTACATTAAAGCAACACAGACCATCACTAAGTGAATCCACTATCAATGTAACAGTTGACAGAGATGCAAGAACTTGAAGTCCACACTACACAAGCATGCTTGGAGAAGGGCAAGAACAGGAAGGAAAAGGGAAGGAATTGGAGCATTAAATGGTCCAGCTAAGAAAAGAGCATTTCATTGCACTCAATACCCAATATATGACATAAGGCACCTAAGTATGCTCCAATAACCATTGAGTGCAAGGAGCACAGGCACAGGATCAAAACCTAAGAGCCAGAACCAAATAATGGAAAGGCAGCATAATTTGACAACACTACTGGGGCCAGAGCTCATATAAAAGGAATATGGTAGCAAAGATTTGCTTTGATCTCCAGTACCCATAAACCCTAGGGTGACCGAGCCAAAAGCCACTCATCACAAAAGCAGGAAGAAGGGAACCTTGAAATGCAGGGCCAAAGAGCAGAGGTTGAGGAACAGCAGGAGAACAGGTGGTGCATGACAATTGGAGATACTGACACAATGAAGCCCTAGAGCTCAACAGGTCAGACAAACCACATCAGAATGATGAAAGGTTGATGGTGAAAGACTATCAACTCATTCTTGGTGAAAGCTTTAGCCAAACAAAGTCTTTTGATGCAACAAAGCAACACGTTCCGCAACAGATGAAGTCCATGGAATTTGATGACCTTGTTGCAACTGGTCAGCACAAGAAGAAATAAAGCTTTATGTGAGTTGTCCATTAAAGGGAAAACTCAAGACAAGGAGATGCAAAAAAATTCAAGAGCCAAGTCCAAGACCAAGAAGACCTCAAAAATAGCACAAGAGGGACAAAGATGAAAATATGCATGATTTACCTTGGTAATATAATCAGAACACACCTCTAAAACAAACCCAAGTGACAGGCTCCAAAGGAACTAACCTACAAGGTATGGTGTTGGGTGTAAGGCAGCACTCGATGAACCCCAAAAATAACATGTGTATTGCCACCAAGAGGAACGGATATTGGCAAAGCACAAGAAAATGCTGAAGTACCAACCATGCCACCTTTTACTGGTGATGAGAAAAGGTATGGATATGACTAAGGAGGTCTGCTCCATTTTCAATACAACGGGTGATTTTGAAGTACAGTGGTACCACGGTTTACGAATGCCCCTCTTTACAAACGTTTCGACTTACGAGCCCGATTTCTTCAGAAAATTTGAATCGGGTTACCAACTTTACCTCGGGATACGAGCTTGTTGATACGCGTATGGCCGACCTAGCGCATAATGGCACGGCGATCGCGCCTCAGTTTCCAAGTACCTCCCGCCTAGTAACTATCCTGCCTGAATTCTTTGCAAGGATTTACAGTTTTCCAGGATTTTTGGCTATTTGAATATAAAAGTTGTTATTATATATCTGACCATGGGGTCCCAAGAAAGCCAGTGGTAAGGTTCAAAGCAAGAAAACACATGTGAGAATGACCATAGAGGAAAAACAAGAGATCATTCATAAACATGAAAACGGTACACATGTTTTTGAACTAGCTAGGCAGTATAACAAATCTTCAGGGAAGGAGGAGGAGGAGGAGGCGGCAGTAGAGGATGTCCCTTCCTCATTAATTAAGGAATTGTGTGCAGTATGGAAAGAACTGCAAAGTTTTGCTGAAAAGAATCACCCAGATAAAGCTGTAGCAGGCCGTTGCATTGATCTTATTAATGACAATGTGATGTCTCATTACAGACAAGTGTTAAAAAGAAGAGGAAAAAATAATCAAGAAAAAAATGAGAAAATCATGCAGTGAGCCAGAAGCAGGTCCTAGTGGTATGCAGGCAAAATGTGCCAGAGAGTGCACCTCAGAGAAGTCCTCACTGCCTGATGTTATAATGGAAGGGGGACTCCCCTTCCAAACAATAAGACCTCTCCTCCCCCCCCTCACGGTCTTCTATATGCCAACAGGAGTCATCAGTAAAGGTAAGTAATAACTTGTACATACTTTTGTAGTGAAGATTTGGGTGAATTAGGTATAAAATTTACTTTAAAGTCAATTTTTTTGGGAGTCGGGAACGGATTAGTTCATTTCCCATTACTAGTATTTCTTATGGGGAAATTTGCTTCGGTTCACGAATTTTCGGATAACGAACCATCTCCAACAGATGGTTGGGGATGGAACATTAACCAACAGATTAAATTCGTAAACTGAGGTACCCCTGTTCCACCATTTAAAGCAACTAAATGGATTATTCAGTTATTTATATTTTATATTTCTAACTTAGCATTAGGTTAGGTAAGGTAAGCCTTCGCATTGAAGGTAACCAAGGTAGCTTATTTCTCTAGGTTATTATAACCCACCCAATCATTTTCATATCATTTCCTTTCATTTTTAAAGACCAATACAATGTGGGGGGTTTGTGCAGCTACCTACCTTGTGAAGTGGACTATATCTACTCGTTAAGATGTCTCAGGTGTATTTCCAGTACCGAAGTTTACCTCCATATTAAGTTACACTCGTGCTACTGGTACTCGCTTTTCCAGGAGTCGGTGTGTTGTAGTGTTGGCACTGATTCATTCAATTTTAGTAGTCAGTAGTAATAATGTTGGGAAGCGTGGTAGTTCCTGCAATATTGGAGAGTATAGCATGCACGTGTTTGATGCAAGAATGCCTGACTTGGTGTTCAATCATATACATTTCTCCATTTCCCTCCCATACACTTGCAGTGTATGCCGTGTTTGTATGGCTGTTTCCCCCTCACCTATCTGTTCTATTTTGTTTCCATCTGTCTCTAAAAAACTATGAAATTTCAGAGTAGTCTTCTTCCAAGGAGTTCCAGTGGCCTTCCACTAGGAGGCCTAGTCAAGGACCGGGCCGCGGGGACACTAAGCTCCGAAATCGTCGCAAGGTAAGGTTCCTTTGGCCAATTTTGAAGTCTGCTTATCACCCTCTCCAGTGTGTTCTAACTTCTAGACGTCTCTTGAGTGGGGCTCTGTTAAAGCTTTTTTAAGTTCAGGTATATGCAATCAGCCCAATCCTCTCTTTCTTACAATACTGCTCCAACTCTATCATAGAAACTAAGTAGATATGTTACATAAAATGTTCTCATTTGAAATCTTAGACTATTTGTCTGTCATGTCATTACTTTCCAAGTACCCTGTCCATTTGGTTTAAAATAAATTTCTAGTGCTTTTACTCCCACACTTGTCAATGATACAGTTCTATAGTTTAGTGTGTCTTCTCTTTTTCATTCTTAAAGATTGAAACTGTTTGGCTTTTTCCATTTGTCAGCTAGGATCCCGTTTGTAAGTATGTTTAAATGATAATCTGAAGTAGGGCACTAATCTTGGAAGCATATTCCTTTAGTACCCAAGTCTAGTTCTTTCTTTCTAGTTCCTGAGCAGTTTTTCTACTTCTCAAGACACTTCTATATATTTTGCTCTAATTTATATTTGAGACTATCTTAACTCGATTGCTGAAAATCTCATCTTGCATCTGTTTGTTACTGTTACATATACTTCCTTTCCAGTCTCTGAGTCTACCTCCCAGAAAGACAGAATTTTGTTTTTCACTTATAATTTGCTTCTTATGAATTTATAGAATAAAGCTTTTTTTTATATTTGTCTGCTATTCTCTTCACAAAGTTTCATTCTGTCTTCTGACTGCGGTGTCCAGTAGTTGTCTTCTTGCTTGTTTGTAGTATTAGTATGTTTGTGGGTTTGGCTTTTACTACCCGTATATTGATTTAATTTATTTTCTTTTGTTCTCGGGCTCCCTCCCATATTTCTATTAAACTAATCTTTGTCGTCTATATTCCCATCTCATTTTTGTTATAAATGTTAGGGTGCCTTCCTCATTATTTTACAAAAATTTGCATACATTTCCTTACTTAACAATAACAAATTTCAGTCAATCCCAATAAAGAATTCTCTTAAGACTCCCAAATTGTTTTTTCTTAAATATGAGTTTCTCTATAACCTTCTTTTGTCCATTATTTTCTATGGTACAGCATATTGTATTGCATATTTCACTTCTAAGAGTACATGGTTACTCTTACCTATTTTCGATAGGTACTGTATATC